AGGAGCTCCGTTCTAACGGAAACATGCAGGAATGCTTCTAAATATTATTTTTTACAAACAGCCAACTGTCAAAGTTATAATATCTTGCCGTCATCGGGCATAGTCCGCCATGAAAAAATGACTCAATTACGAGCAAAAAAAAAAAAAATAAGTTCATCGGAAAACTTTTTTTTTCTCCCGAAAATACCAGCGCTCTATGATCCAACCACGTCTCGTTTCACCGCCTTCCTACTAAAAAAGTACAAAAACAATTTATTATTTGTTCATCGGTTTAAATATTGTTATGACCATACGTCTATACCGACGTATCTAATGACAATATTTAAAAAAAGTATTTATATTAATTTCAATAGCTATACGTAATATGTCTTATTCTTATATACCTATTCATACCGACCTATACGCCGGTGGAACCGTGTATTTTGACCCAGTTAAATTTTACCCCTCGGTAAATATTCACTAGCGAAATTGTACCGGAAGTAAATTTTCACGGTGGGGTTAAATATCCCTAGTGAATATTTACCACAAATAAAGTTTCGTTAGAGATATTTTACCCAGATAAAATTTCACCTTCGAAATTTTACCTCCCGGTAAAAATTCACTAGATCAAATTCATAAATTTACACTATTAAAATGTTTTTATATGAATTAACCTTTTACGTTAACTGAACTAGGATTAAGGTCTAGTTTGAATTAATTTAACTAGATAAGTTTAAATTTAAGATAGAAAAAAAATTTACTATTATCTCAGTTAAAAAAAAGTTAATCTTTTTGAAGGTACAATATTTTTAAGTCATAGACCATCATAGTATTTTGTTATACACAAATACATTTACCAAGATATTCAACACTGTGTAAAAAATTAGATTATTATAATAATATATTTATTTATATAATTCGAAAATAAATTACCAAAATCGTAAAAAAAGTCGACGAATCTGCAGTATTGACTAGTTGATTATGTATGACTCAAAAATAACTTAACTGCATGACAATGATAATAAACTATAAAAAGTTAAGTTACAACAATAACAATTTTAACTGAATAAGTTAATAAGTTAAAAATGAAAATAATTAACTAGTTAAGTTAAAAAGTTAAAAAAAAATTAACTTTTTTATTATTTTTACTAACAAATTAATGCCCACCTTTTCATTTAGTTATACCAACTATTACCACGTAAAATGTAAAGTACCTATATTGAAATAAAATGTAAATAAAATATAATATTTTACTTAACCGATGACCGGGTACCAAGAATCAATAGATTTGTTAAGTTATTAAAATAACTATACCTAAATGGGACGAGGTGACTTCGTTATACATGTTTATTCATTGTATTGTTGTATTGTATTACGGTTTAGAGTAACATTTTGTTTCAACGACAAGATATATTATGTTTCTTAGTAACTTATTTTAGATTCTGAGTGGAGCGATGAATGTATATTGATTTTACAAAGATGTGTGTTTTTTTTTATTTTTTTTTTGTCTGTCATAACCTTTTAGTATAATGCTATAATCAAAATGCTTATAGACTTTCTTCAACAGTATCTTATCTGATAGGAAAGTGTATCTAGTTGGTAATTTGGGCGAAAAAAAGCAAAATGAAAAGCAAAAGAAAATGTATGGAAAATGGGAATTTTTACTCAAAATCGGTTATCGATAATATCGATTTTGGTTTTTGGTATAACTCTAAAACAAATAACCATGGGTACATAAAATGTTCACTGAATGTTTATATTACCAATTTCTATACACCATAACATTTTCAAAATATTTTGACTTGTTTTGAACTGTTTACGGACATTTCAGTTTCCATTTTTTTTTTTTTTAGTAAAATATGTCGTTTAGGCAAAAAACATGACAATTTAATACAAGGCTCCTAATATACTGTTACAAATAATAATTTGAATGGATGTTGAAAACATTTTTTTGTAAGCATTTAAAGAACGAATTTTGTCATAATAAGTAAAAATCACAAAAATGTGCAAATTACTTTGAGTTAGAATAACTCATAAGAAATTTTCTTTTTAAATCTAAGATTTGAAAATTTAATTCAAGATACATCATAAGTTTGTCTATCTTTAGAAAAATAAAATGTCTACCAGAAAGTCATATTAAATTATCATGAACGTTTGGAGTTCAAATTTTTTTTTTCAAAAACAAATAACTGTGGACACTTGAAATTTACACCATATGTTTATTTCATTGATTCCTATACTTGATAACATATGTTGATTAGTTTTGAGCTGTATACCTACGGACATCTCCAATTTTAATTTGTTAGTTTTTTTTCCATTAATGTCAATAAAATTGTATTTGTTTAATGTGGTATATAAAATGTGCGCCATAGATATACTGGAATGATTTGACAAAATATTTTAAAAAATTACGAGTATAATGTAGAAGTTGTTGGTTATTACCTATCACTTAAAAGAATTCGCATTGAAATATGTAATTTAAATACCTTCACCAAATTCATAAAATAATATGTAGGTACTCAATTAGGTATCTATTTAATTAAACGGGTAGCTAGGCACTTGATAAGATCACTTATTACCTACCTAATTCAGCCGCTTGTCAAGTGTGAAACGCTGTTCAAACAATATTTTATACCTACTTGCCTACCAAGTAACAGTTAGTAGCTACACAGTATTACAGTATAGGTACTAATGTACCTACTATAGGTTGAATGGGCCAACTTGGGGCCAAAATATTATCTTATAGTTTCACCTCCATTGGCTCCATAACGGTCTCTTCACTCTTGTCATATCTTAATACTTATTACTTATCATTTTGGAAGGTAGTAGTGTCGCCGCATCGGATATTATTACAACGGTATATTTTTATAATTCTGTTGTAACTTGACATGATACAATGAAGTGTAATATAATATAATAATATAAATTTTAATAAATAACAATCCCAAGACAAACACGTCCATACAAATTATTTTATGCTGTATAGGTACAGCTTGTTCCACAGAATACAGGGTGATTGGAAAAATATAAAACTATTTGTATTACGCAATCAAAATTAATTTCGATATTATGATTTTGTTTCCGTTAATTAATCAACATTATTTTAACCACTATTCTATAATATTGTTATTTTCAATTACTAATTAGTTACGTAGGATAAAGTACGTTGCAGAGCCGCATATCGCCGGTTTCGACCCATAGTCGAACGTATTTTCAGGTTTTTTTTCTTACATAAGTATTTTTTTTAGTAACTTTTTATAATTTTTGATCATTTTAAAAACTATGAACTACTGAACTAAAATTTGAACTATTTAAAATTCTAGATGAACTAGAACTTGAACTAGTTCATTCTAAAAACTATGAAATAAAATTTGAACTAGGTAGTTCATATTTAATGTCTTGAACTTGAACTTGAACTAATTCAATTTTAGAAAGAACTTTCCCATCACTGTACCTAAATAGGTATAGGTACCTAAGTAGGCACTCCGGCACTCGAGATGATCACTTATTACCAACCTATTTATTTTCAAATACCTATCTAGGTACTTAACTAACTCGGTATTTCTTTTTATTTCATTTATTAAATATTTATAGTAGGTATCTATATATTTTACACATCAATGTTACTATGCCGTATTCATATGCTGACAATGTTAGGTAATATAAAATCTATTTCGAGTCATCACAATTAAATATATGAAATTAAATTTGCGTATTCGATATAGGTAGTTAATTAGTTATAAAGTATGTAGGTACCTACATAATTACAATTTTTAAATTAATGAAGTCAGTGAAGCTGTATCCACTTGTCCACTTTTTTATTTATACGCGTTTATTATTCGTCTTAACTCAGTTTATAGGCTAAACACTTACCTACATTTGGTTTTAAGATAAAGTTTCTTTAATCAAGGCCATGTTAACACGACGATTTGATGTATGCTTGTACCTGATCTGACTGAGTAACCAATGGCAACCATTTATATACAAAAAAAAAATAATTTTCACTGTTAATCTCAAGTACCCTGTCTGACCAGCTCTTTTCGAATATCGGAAAATCCTTGATGGAAAATCTGATGTGCAATCTAGCTCATTAGAGGAACCACTATTCCAAATGTGTACGTTTTTAAGTTTTTGAGTTGTATCGATCAGTCTGTATCGATCATATAAAAGAACACCCTGTATAGATGAAGTGCGGCAAGTTTAATAATAATATTATAATATAGAGTAGAATCATTTACTTTTCGCTATTTTAACAGACAACCGAATTTCCTTTCCGAATTATTATAGCCGACAGTCACACACTCAAAGTCCTTCAAATTGACTGTCCCTTTGACGTCACACACGTCTGATACATGACAGACGTTATACATTTAACGTCCAATGACGCGTGACCCCAGCCTTAAACTTTCTTAAATATTCTCGTTCAGACTTCTATATATATATATAATATATAAACTATAGTTTGAATTTATTACCTATACGGCTATACATTTTAACTATTTATATTTTATGCATGCAATAGTTATCGTGCTTTCGTACTGCAAATGACACACACGGTTTTGAGCATATTTTATTCGCGTTAGATCGAATAATGTGTTCCGGAATTAATTTTATGCCCAATTTTATGATATACCTAATAATATTTTATGTTTTTTTTCTTATTATGTTGATATTATATTAGGTAGGTATACATGTATACTGTTACCGTATACATGCACTGTAATTATTAGACACGAGGAGATTTCTACTTTTTTTTTATTGATATGAAATAAAAGGACATTAATTAAAATAATATAAGTTCCAATTTTTTATGAGTCAATACAAAAGTTAAATATAAACAAAACATCATAATACATCAATAAATTATTTTATATTAATGGTATTCAGAATCAGTATCTCGTCGTCGATCTAGTCAAAACATAATCTTAATTGGACAGGAATTCAGTTGATAATAATAAATAGCTGCTGCCCGCCACCAGCTTTTGACAGTCGGGGCGGCTTCCGTCGTACCCGGCCCATTCCTACCTGGTGCGTCGTCTTTTGGCCGGACCACCCGCAGCACCAGCTTGGTATTGTTCTCTTTGTTTATCTAGCTTTGACACAAATGCCTTAAATTGCGGCAAAGCACGAGTGACATCGTGTAGCCTGGCCATGGGTGTTGCAGCAGCCGGGTAAATCTGCCTGATTCGTCCATTTCTCTTCAACACGGCCAACTGCTCGCTGTCAAACAAACGACGGGTGAAATGTATTAACCTCTTCTGAACACTGTTGGATGAGCAGTAGGAGGGATAATAATTATTAAAATGAGGAGCAGACACTTACGAATTTCCACTGAATATTGTCGTTTTCAAGTATTTGTTTAAGACGAAAGCGCATTTCTCGACTGTGCATGAAGGCAACACCATCTGGACAAAATCCTTTAATGTCACCAACAGATCCTTATTATGAATGTATGGTTTTGCGTTTATGCAATGGATCGCTCTCCCTTGAAGTGTTGACTTTTGGATCTGTGTTAAATATATATAAATATATAAATATTATTTATTTTTTAAATACAAATAATAGTATTATAATAAATTTAAAGACAAATTGTCGTTATTCTATATAGCAAATAAATTGAAATAGTAATATTTGTTGTGTTAATACTATACTCTGAATTTAATTTAATAACATACAGGCCTGTTACTTATTGCTATAACGCAATTGATCAAATAATAAATGTTGAAACAATTGTAAGAAGTTAAAAAATATTCCACGAATATAGTTAAAGACAAAATAATTTTATTACCAATTTTAAATACTGCACACACATTTAGTTAACAGAAAAACTAAAAAAATTGAAATAATCAGCCTAGAGAAACTAATATCTATTAATATGGAAAGTTACATTTAAATACAAAACATTTGTGGAAAACAGTCAATAAAATTTAAATATTATTAATTTAAAGATTAACCCATAGTAAATATTTTATGGTTATTAATGAACATTATAAACTTATCTATGTTGTACAAAATTGGCTGAAGTGATGTACATGCTACATGTTGTTAATAAATATAAATTTGTTTAAAAAAAAAAAGGTTAGGTTAGGGTAGATATCAAGATTTTATATCTTATAGAGGTATGAAAAATAATAATAATTTTATTCTAGGCCCCAATAAATTCAGTCAATCTTAAAATATTAAATATCATTAACCTTGTATGCAACATTATTAAGTGTGCCATGCTCCCGACCCATTCGTTCCGGTATTCCCATCATTTGCCATCTAATAATAGGACGAAGAGAATTCTCCTGCACAGTTGGAGGAATAGAGCTGGATGATGGGGACGTTAAGTCAATGATTTCTGAGGGTGGAGCAATTGCAACAGGCGCAGCATTCCTTAATGCTTTGCGCTGTTGTGTGTTGGTTAAGCGATCATGCACAGATTGGCCACTATATGACTGCTGAGTTTGTCTCATTTGGCTGATAGGTACAACGTTGGAGTTTGATATGGTATTACTATAAGCATAAATAATTTTTTTCCTCTTTTTAGATATTTACAAATTTGATTATTGGTATTATTTTGATAACACTTACCCAATTATTAGTGTCGTATTGCTTGCACAGACTAAAGGCGGTGGTGGTACAACATTAACCACACTGTTTACCAAACTGCTGCCTTGAGACATCGTTGAACCCTGAAAATTCAATAAAAACTAAATATAAAAAATTGTTAATTTACTAATAAATATTACATAGCCCACAATGTAATATTAATACCCATCATTGAATTCAAACAATTAATTATTATACCACACATGCAAAACTTGTAGTCAATACTTTTATTAAATTATAAATTATAAATTAACTTAAATAAAGCATCAAAATATATTAAATTATAAAATGATCCAACATAGTAACAGTTGGACTAACAACTGGAAAAAAATTGTTCATTTAAAAGCATGCACGACACCTATGTGACACCACTGTGAAGTATAATTAAATAAAACAAATGATTATGATATGCAAAATTAATATGATAATTATAAGCATAAAATAAATGATACATTTGAATACATTGAGAAAACAAAAGCAACAATTTATTTAAAGAATCAAAATAAAAAATTAATTTAATATATATATTTATATAATATGTAACATAATTCATACCATTATAATAATTAAATGAAAGCAAAATTTAAAGTAAAAACTAGAAAGCCTTTAAACCAAATTTCCCATATTTGTATAATTTTGTTTGGTACAAAATATATAACTATTGATTGATAGACCTTTTTGTTTATAGATACTTATTTATTAATATTTAATAGTTAATACTAAAAATAATTATAAGCATAAAATAAATATTACATTTGAATACATTGTGAAAACACAAGCAACAATTTATTTGAAGAACCAAAAATAAAAAGCAATTTAATATAATATATAACATAATTCATACTATTTGGTTTGCAGGCCGTGCAGGTGCTGGTGCCGTTAAAGTGTGAGCAACAGTATTTTTAGCAGGTACTACTTTAGGGGGTGCTCTGATCCAGACACCAGGTGGATTTACACGTTTCGACTTCTGAATAGTTAGGAGTTGTGAATAAAAAACCTTAGCTGGATAATATTCCTCAAAATTAGTTTCCGGTGGAAAAATATTTTTTATTTCATCAAGACTGGCCACTGCGCAAGAGTCACTGGCAAACAACTCCTTTATGATACCATGAACTTTGAAACCAAACTTGAGGTAGGCTAAGTCCCAATTTTCTAATTTTAAAGATTGTTGTCTTAGGTTTTCTGATACGCCTTCAAAGTAGAAAAGCGGGACATATTTTTGGTTATCTTTAATGCAATATGGTACAACAGAAACAGAGTTAATTCGAATAAAACCACATTTCTCTCTGTGGCCTGGAGTAATATCGCACATTATTTTTTTATAACATACTTCTATGAACGTATAAAATTCACGAACATCTTCTAAACTCACAATACAATCGTTTCCTGCCAAAAAATCTTTTTTCCCGTACATACAGTCGGCATGTTTTTCGTTGATATCGTTTAGTAATTTTGCTTCAGGTTTAGTGATTAAAAGGCTCCTTACATTAGTGCATGATGTATAAATATCTGCATGTAAATAACCTAAATAGATGTTGAGTAGCTGTGTTTCTGCCATACGTGCAGATACAAACTTTAACTCTTCACCATTGATTACTCTAATGATGTAGGGTACACGGTGTTCACCAATAGTTTCCCATGAAAATCTACCTACATTGCATAAAAGAACATAAAATATAGTGTTTTCATAGAAAGTTTCAAAACACAAATTTAACCCCTGATTGCTTACCCTTAATACTTTCTACAGCTTCACAATCTTTGGGTAATTTGCCTTGGTTTTTTTGTCTGTTATTCATTGTAATTGGTTCATTAGTCAATGTTACTGCTGTACCAGCTCTGTTTAGATAAACATTTGCCGGTGAAGCAGCCTGTTGCTTTGCTGCAGCTGTTGCAGTTTTTTGATAATTTTCTTTCATTTTGAGAGCCATATTATTTATTTCAGGATTATCGTGTTCTTTATTTACACTTATCCCTGTAATTTAATTATAAAATTATGTTTTAATATAGGTAATTGAATTATAGGTAGGTATTATGAATAATAAAAAAAAATATTTATTGGAAAATAATTTATGGACTTTAAATGTAAACATTTTGAATAATTAAAATTATAAGAACATTTTTTTCTCTTTTTTTCATATAATATACTTTTGCTGAAATCCATGCCTACTAAAAATCAATAAATAATATTATGTCCAAATATTATTTAGAAATTATCATAATGAATTTATGTTATAAAGTGACCAAAATTCTTATACACGTACATGAATAATATTATTAGATCTCTTAATCATAGTGATCATTTATCAATAGGAGTAAATATTAAATATTCCAGTATTATGATTTATGATAACATGTACATAGAATACTGATGATTTATAATATAGATATAAACTATAATATTATAGTAAAATATAATAACAGAATCATTATTACCTGAAATTTAGGACACTCAATGAGGGCAAGCTAAAAACTGTATTATTTACTTTATGAGTGCAATAAAGCTGTGATAAAGTTAAAAAAAATTGATATTTAGAAGAATATTAGTTTAGTCTTATGGACTTTGTCTCAAGTTGCTTTCAATAGCCAAGTCGAAAAGAAAACCGTTATGTATCTGATATTTTAGTTACTCATAAAAAATGAGTCTACATTATTATTATTATTATACTACATATTTAATATTTATATTTTAGCTATTTGTTTTGAGATAATATAAGTTATAACTAGAGATCGGTTTATATGAAATTGCAATTTTTTTCCTTTTCACATTTTTTGGATTTTTGTTAGTAATTTTATGAATTCTTATAGTTTGAAGCTAATAGTGATTATTTTTTTTTTGCATAATACTTCTTATTTATGGTTATTGCGTATTTCTAGATATTTTGACAAAATTGCATATTGAACTTAAAATTAAAAAAAATATTAATAATTAGAATATTTTGTCAATCATAAAATTGTAATAATACATTTTGTAGTCTCTAAGTGATTATTCATTTTAATAATATTAAATTATAAATTACAATTTTTTTTTGTTTATTAAGTAGGTGGATCATAGGTAGTAATAATAATACCTATTATTAATTATTATATTATAAGTTTTTTAATTTGTTTTAAATTTTTTTTGAGGAATACATATTAAATTGTGAATCTTTACCATATTACACAATTCAAAATTTATTTTTCTTGCTTATTTTGCGCATATTATGTTCACGATTATGACTGCATATTATATGACATATTTTGACACTTTATTGTAGAGCTGGGCCGATACCGATATCCGATATTGGAACTATCGGTTTAATCGGGTATAGGTTTTTTTTTCTGAACCGATAGTAAAATCGATATAATACAGTCGCATATCAATTTGTATGTAATGGTGATGGTTATACCGATAACGCTATTTTTAGACATATTATGTAAGCAACAAATGATTTGGTAAACATAGTAAACACGATGCAATCACAATTTAAATTCAATTTCGTTTATTTCTTATTTAATTATTTCTCCTACTTACCGCGGTTATGATTTTATTGATAAACTAGCTCTAAGTGTAACTCGGGGCTCGTTGGACTCACTGGGAGTGGGTACCGATTTTGGAGACAATGAATTATAAAAGTCGCAAATGTTGTAAGACGAAAGTTTAGAATTTGTGATAAGGATTAGTGATATGGATTGGAGATAAGGCTAGACGCTTTGGCGTGAATGTTAAAAGTTTGAGCGTCTAGCAATCCGTCACAAACGTTGTAAATGGATAGGCTGGAAACGATCTCCAGGATCACCTATATACTATATAGAGTATACCTGCACATAGAGTGATATGTGCCGTAGCATGACCGGTGCTTTATCTTATGTAAAAAGTGTAAAGTCGAAAACCGTGTTGGAGTTTCTAGCAAGTCAGTCATCTCAAGACAAAATCTATTAACTTTCAAGTTAGCCACTTAGGTAGGCAATCCGACTTCGTCAGATCTAACCTGCGGTGGATTGCAGACCCGACGTCAAGCGGCTATAAGTGAAAACCCTATCACACAACTTACGAAATAATTTACGAAAAATTCAAACTATATACAATATACATACAAACAAATATGATATGTATTTATTGTGTGATATAATATAACAACAATGAACACTTTGAGAAATGAGCAATTATAATTCCTAAAAAAAATTAACATATAGGTAGATAGTTAGATACATACTATTATATTAACCAATACAATACATATAAACACTACCTATAATGTATATATATTAATTTTAAAAAAAAATGCAAAAACCAGCATGTTAAACTATTAAAGTGTCTGTCAAGTCAATCATCACCGTTTAAGACGAAACTAAAATGAGCAATCCGTCTATCACCTATATATAGTTGTAGGTATATCACATAGAGTGGTATGTGGCTTCGCGTGTCCGGTGCCATTCCTTATGTAAAAAGTGTAAAGTCGACAACCGTGTTGGAGTGTCTAGCAAGTCAGTCATCTCAAGTCAAAATCGATTAACTTTCAATTTAGCCACCTAGGTAGGCAATCCGAAATAAAATACAAACTATATTTATATAACAATCATGGACTTTTTGAAAAAATATGCAATTATAATAATTCCTAACAAAACAAATATAATATGTACCTATTTATTGTGTGATATAATATGACAATGACTTTAAATAATAATATTGTACGATATGTTCCTGTATTAGGGCCGGGCCACCCATAGCGGTTGAACCGCGACATGTTGCGGTCGATTTTTCGACCGCGGCAGTTTCCGCGGCTGAACCGCGTAAGTGTGAACGCATATCAGGCGGTTGCATTTAAAATCAAACAATCTGAATTTGTTGGGCGGTTCAACCGCTATGTGTGGCCCGGCCCTTATTATATTATTATTTAATTTATATGAAAAATAACGTGAAAGAAAAATGCAAAAAAAGTAGGGTTTCGGGCGGCCGTTTAAACCTCATGGCATTGACGGTTACGACGCCCGAACAGCGTACGACGGATTCGAACCCGGGACCTACGTGTTTACTACCTAACGCCTAACCTACTTGGACACAATTTGAGATATGAAGTGCGGTCAAAACATCAACACTTAAGCCGTGCGTCTACGGAGCGACGTAAACCGATATATTCGATGATTATCGATGTAATCCCATTAATTCGCTTGTAATACGCGCATCTCCCATATATATATTTAACGGGGCGTGTGAAAAGCGTTTTCCGTTAATTATTAAATCATAGGGAAAAATTAAATTATACACGTATATAGGTACATGTATATATACGCGTACGGTCGGTCGGTCGCTTCTAAACGCGATTGCGAGGCGAACGAACCGATTTCGGGGGAAAAGCGCATATAAACGGCTTTAAAAAGACGTCGACTACACGATTCGGGCACAAACGGCTTGCGAATAGACGAAACGGTGGGAGAAAAGGAAAAAATCGTCAAAAAAGTCCGGTCGGAAGTGTATTTTTCGATCGACATTGCGACCGCTTCGGACGGCGCACGAATATAAAACGCACACCGGCGGCTTCGAATTAAGTATAAAAAAGGGCGAAAAGAGTCGAAATCGTGTAAAATAGCTAATTTTCCGAAAATTTCAAAAATCGGTGAAATGATAGGAAAACAGGAGATAACGAAAAACGTTTTAAAACCGACCGCCGCCACTGCGAAGGTACGCGATTGGTCGCGCTATAAGGAATCGACGGTACATGGCCGGCGGGCTGGGGAAACGGAGCGGTGTTTCATTTTTTACGCCACGGTTTCACTATAGCCTGCGTTTTCCTTTCCATTGGTACACTATAGACAGCTGATTTCGTTGTCATTTTATAGTATAGGATAGTAATTGATAGAGATAATATTATAATATAAATATATAATAACCAAAAAATTATTAATTATCATCTATATTATTATCATTTATCAATAGTTAATAATTAATAGTTATACCTATTACTTATTAGTTTTAATTTTTAAATGTATAGACGTATTATAGTAATTACTAATTTACTAATTTATATGTTATAATTTATTATAATTTATTTAATACCTAATAATACCTAACAATACCTTTCAGTTATTATTTTTTTTTCCACTTATTCAATTAACAAATAAAAGAATTGTAAAATTTTAAATTATTAAATATTACTATTTATTATTTTATAGTTTATACTTTAAAGTTTGATTATTATTTATTTTAATATTTTATAATTTTGTATACTATTTAGTATTTACTATTATAGTATTATACATTTATACTATTTTATGGTTATTACTTATTTCAGTTATTTGTTTTTTTTTTGTCCACTTATTTAATTACAGTGGTTGAATGGTAACGAGTTGTCACGATTATAGAATTTTATTATAATATAATATTTTGTATGATTAAAATAATATAAAAATATTAATATAATATTATGTTGATATTTTTAAACAGTCATTTATTATTAAATACTATTATTTAATTTTTAGTTTTCACCATATAAATATTTTAGGCTTAGGCAAGTACCTACACTCTGTTCAACGAGAGAACGCACGGCGCACCGACCAAAACTGGTTCCCCCCGCAACACCCTGTCGTAAGAGAACCGGTTTCGATCAAGAGATTGTGCGTTTTCTCGTTGAACAGAGTATAAGTTAATTTGTACCGATTGGAACGATTCCACCTAAGAGGACGTGATACCCGCATGTGTTGTCTCCGTCATACAAGTGCATAACATAGCAAATTTTACGCTCAGAAAAACACGTGTTAATTTAAAAATTAGAGTAAATTAACCTCTTATAAAATATAAAGGTAAGATTATTATCTAGACAACCTTATGGGCTTTTTATAATATTTTCATTTTTTAGCTAGTTATGAGTACTTTAAGATCTATAAAAAATATACAATTTTAAAATACTCATAGCTCGCTTAAAAATTAAAATATAATAAAAAGCCCATGAGG